TGACAAGGGCAGCAGAGGACAGTCCCCTCCCTCTTCCTGCTGCCACCCCTCTGCTGATGCATCCCAGGGTGCTGATGGCCTGCTGGGCTGCAGGTGCACACTGCTGGCTCTTACCCAGTTTTTTGTTTGCCGTGAGCTGACGAGATGAAATCTCTGCTTCTGGAGCAGTCTGTCCCACCTGACTTTTAAAAAGCCAAAGGATGTGCCAGGCCACAGGTAGCATTTCAGTTGCTCCAGCATCAGGCTGTGGTTGATCAAGGGATGCTCTATCTGACCCAGTTTTGAATCAAACATATCCAAATAGATGGGATGCTCTCACTGCATCCAAGGGTTTGCTGGTAATGGCTTGGAAGAAAGACTCTCCTTCCTAGAAAACTCGTACTGCAGAGGAGGAAGGGAAAGAGAGGACATGGGATCACACTGTAGCTGCAGCTCTGAGATGCAGGAGCACATGGACTCAAACCTCCCAGGGAGCTGGCAAGGGGGCTTGGCCATGGATGAAGGTGGAAGGCCTCATCTCAGAGGAATGTTCAACAGCAGAGGGAAAGAGCTGTGAGAGAAAACAACTGGTGTCATAGAGATGAGGCATGTGGTAGCTGGGAGGGAAGGGGAAGTTTCGTCCAGGTTCAGTTCCAGGGGATTAATGACTGTCGGTGGGGAAGGCTGGCGCAGGATTCCTGCTTCAGGTTTCAACCCTTTTTTCCTCTTTCTTCCAGCTTAATTGAGTTATGATGATCGCAGTCATTGCATTTTTCAGTGAGAAGAAGGCTCGGTGGCTGGGATGCTCGCCTGCAATTTCAGCAATTCCAGTTCCAGCAGCCTGCATCTGAGAGTTGCATGAAGGGGGAAAAAGTGCATTTAAGCAGAAAATGCTTATGTATTTTAAATAACCCAGGTTATTCTGATGAAACACTGAAGTCTGATGAGTTCCTGGGAGAATATAGGGTTCCTGCTATGCAGCCCCATGCTCTGTGTGGAAATACGCAGCCATGGCTCTGGTGCAGGACGAACGGATGAGGCTGGGCACGGCAGTAAAGAGGTAAAACCAATTACCTGGCAAGTGGAATTAATTACTAGAATAAAAGTGTGAAGTAACCGCAGGGCATCTGCTGCAGTGTTTCACTGCCTCGATGGGCGGTTAATGGGCACTGAAGCTGAGCATCTTGGCGCCCTACCAGGCACATCATAAAGCACCGCGCTCACCATAGGTTTGATACATCTCCGCTTCCTTGCAGCTGGACCTCCAGGTCCCACAGTTTTGTAAAGTTACCCTTCCTCCAAGGAGGGCCAGGTACCAGAAATGTCCGTGCTCTAGCAAAATCCTTTCTTCAAATCATTCGCAAGTGAGAGATGAACGCTGGCTCCAAGCCCAGCGCTGCCTGAGCGCCCAAGCCGCAGGTTTGGTTGGCAGTTCCCAAATGAGGCACTGCCTACCAGAACCATAGGATGGGGCTTCTCCTTCTCTCCAGATACAGAAATATACAGGAGGGTGCCGAAAATTTGTCATCACTTCAGGCCTGGAGGGAGACAAGTGTTATTTGAGTTCATTCCTGGGAGCACATTTAGCTGGCTGTTGCTCTGACTGTCAGCTTCAGTCTGCAAACACTTGACCCAAATCCAGTGACGGAAGGAAAAAGCCTTCAGACCGTCCTCACAGCCTGCGTCCTGTCCTTCCAAAACAAACAGACCGCTATGTTTTAGCTTAGCAAAAACATTGAAATAAATTGTTTGATACAAGTCACAGAGCTATTTCAGAAGTGAAAGCTGCAGTATTCCTGCCAGAGCACACTGCCTGTGCACACCAACACACACAGCCCAGCCAGCCCTGCTGCTCCCCTCACAGGGAGCCTCCAGGTGACTTCGGAAGATCCCCAAGGAGGAGACCCCACAGCCTCCGTGCAGCCTGTGCCAGTGCTCCATCACCTACACAGCACAGCACTGCTCCTGGTGGTCAGAGGAAACCTCCTGTGTGCCACTTGGCACCCAGTGCCTCCTGTCCTGGCACTGGGCATCACTGAGCAGAGCCTGGCTCTGTGCTCTCTGCACCCTCCCTTCAATTTTCTATGGGCACTGATGGGATCCTCCTGAGCCTCCTCTTCTCCAGGCTGACCAGTCCATGGTACTACTTAATTCTGGTAGGCTGGTTCATAATGTTTTTCTGTTAAGTACTGAAGACGTCCTAAAGTGACCCTATGTTACAGGTTCTGAAAAATCTTGAGCATTACATTGCTTTCCAAAATGTCAAAAAGACCAATAAAAATGAGTTATTTGGCCAGAGGTGGCTGGGCAGCTGCATAAACTTTGAGTATCTGTTAAATTTGTTGAGTAAAATTTTCGGATAAAGTTGATTTTATTGAAATTGTGTGCTTTCACAAACATCATACATAATTTGCTGCTTAGTTCTCGGATTTTTTCAAATGAAATCTCAAAGGAATCTAAGATCAGAGGGCTGGAGCACCTCTCCTGCAGACTGCCTGAGGCATTTGGGTTTGTTCACCTTGGAGAAGAGAAGGGGGACATCACTGCAGCCTTCCAGTACTGAAAGGAGGCTTACAAGAAGGAGGAGACCAACTTCTTTACACAGGCAGATAAAGAGAACAATTTTTAACAAAAAGAGGGGAGATTTAGGTTAGACATTAGGAGAAAAGAAGTTGTGGGTGCCCCATCCCTGAAGGTGCTGAAGGCCAAGTTGGATGGGGTCCTGGGCAGCCCCAGCTGGTGGGGGCAGTCCTGCTCAGAGCAGGGGATTGGAACTGGATGGAGTTCAGTGTCCCTTCCAACCCAAACCATTCTGTGAGTCTATGATCATTAGGAAGAAAACCCTGCTGAAGGAAGGAAAACCAAAGCAGCCAGGGCCTCAGCTGCCCCTGGAGCCTGCAGGCTGTGGGGCACCAGGAGGCAGCTGCTGACCCTGCAGCCATTTCTTGCCATGAGTCTGGAAACACCAGAACCATCAACCCTGTCCTGTAACTGGACAGCATCAGGGTGAGCAGCCGAAGGCTCATCCCCAAGAACACAAAGGAGGAGAGGTACAGTGACACGGAGGAAAACCCTGGGGACCTCACAGACACAGTGCATGTACATACCTACCTATGGTGGTTGTAGGAGCCCAAGCTGACACCATGGTACCAGCCTGCACAGAAAGCAGACACAGCTGCTTTGACACAGCCCCAGGATTGTAACCCCTTATAGCTCAGTCCTACTTACCACCTGGGGTCAGCCATCAGAATTTCAGACCTGTTTTCCAAGACACAGATACTCCAAAATTAGAGTCAGAAATGGGAAGGAAAACCTAGGCTATTCCAAGCATGCTGAAAACATTTTTTATCCCTCTTCTTTTTTTTTTCCAGAGGTAGGATGCATCCCCATCCTTCTGGGCTTCAGGAACAAGGAGTGATTGCACACTGGCAGTATCGCTGATTGCACACGGGCAGCATCAGAGAACACTCAGCCTTCCTGCTCCTGGGCCAAGGTCAAGAGAGCTTCAGAGGTGTGGAAGAGGTCCTGGAGATGCTGCTCAGCACACAATGAGGCCATAGCTTTAGGCAAAGCATGTGCCCCAGTTGCAAAGGCTAAGGCACTGCTGGCCAGAAATTACTTTTAACAAGACCTTTGTAAAATGGTTCACGTGAAAACATTTGACTTCATAAAAAAGGAGGCAGCCACCAGGCCGGAAAACAAACCTCCTATTTCTTTTACTGCCCAGGATCTCACACACAGGCACACCTCACACACACTGGCAGTGCAGTGGGAGGAGGGGAGCTCCATTCCAGCCCGCAGGGGCACAGGGATGTACGCATCCATGCAGACAGACAACAGCCCCTTTCCATGTCTTCGTGCAATGCAGAAAATCCCCATTCCCTTTTCGTATATTTTCAGATCATTTGAGGAAAAATTATGAGTCATCTACAGCAGCTGCAGCCGCTTCCTAATGTTTTCTGCTGCTTGATATTCATTACTCAGCTTGAGTTTCTCTTCTCCCCTCTCCTCCCTTGAAGATCCATCATGGATGAGGATTTTTTGGTCTATCCCATTTTCAAATACCACACTGCCTTTTATGCAAGCAAAACAAATCTAGGCTGTAGTGACTCTTCTTGTCCTTACCCATTCACTGTAGCTTTTCCAAACCCTTTCATTCAGGTTGCCTCTGATGTGGATGGGAAATAAGTGGATAAAGCTACCTTAAATCTTTCAGAGCCCCATAACAAAAGTGGTGGGCTTAAGAGTTTTTCCTACTAAGAAATTAAACTACCTGGAGAATTTGCTTTTTCCTTCCATGGTAACCTCCCCTGGCAGGACCAGATGCCAACCTGAGAAACTGCGAGGCACCTCCTTCCTTCCCTTCCATATATCCTTCAAACAGCAACAAAACAGAATTCCACAAGCACAGATGTGACGTAAATGGGGAAGGGTCTGCTGGCCCCTGCAGACAGCTTCCCTGTCCAGAAGAGAAGCTAGCAGGAGTCTCACCCAACTGCGCTTTAAGGGCCTGGAGGGATGCTGCCCAGAGCCCCAGACATCACCGAGAAGAGCAGAAGAGGTTACCAGACCTTTGCTTTTGGCCCGGCTTGCTAAAGATGCAAGCAAACCCAAAGGGCCCTCCTAGCCTCAGAAACCACACTGAAGTTGTGCAGGTCAGAAGGCAGTTCTCTCCCATTGCTACAGAGTCAAAAATCTGTTTCTGCCCCCCCACGTTGCAAACTAAAGCTTAGAAGAAGAAAATCAGTTCTTCCTTTCTCCTTATTTTTGAGAAGACAGGAGGGACCCACTGACTTCATGTTTTAACAGAAAAAGTAAGTGCATTTAGAAAACCAGCTACCTGTAATTTTTCGTCATACGTGGAAGTAAACAAAAACCATCTTTAACTAGTTTGGATGCTTTGTGAGATTAAGCAATAGTCCATGTGTACATTTGACTACGCACTAACTGAAGTTTCACCTTATACCCAGAAACACATCCCAAGGGAGCACAGATCAATACAAACAAGGTGTGTCAGAAAGTGGTATAAAATAAGATTTATTTGCAAATCACTTTGACAAGAAGGAAACAAGTATATGTGAGATGTGCGTGTTGGGGATCGCAGACCCATTCTTTTGTCTTCTGAGATTTCTATTTATACGAACCATGGAATACTTCCAGAGTTCAAATGAAGCTTCGAAGGGTTTTTTTTTGTGCGTGTCTTGTCCTGCTGTTCCTTCCATTGGCACAGTTATAGGAGACTCAAACTCTTTGTAACAAGAAGCAGCATATGTAAACCAAGGTTGTTCTCTTGTATTTGAAGGAAAACTTGGACAAGAGCCTTTTCACATTTGTTCAGGACAGTGTTAAGCACTTCAGGATTCCCTCCAGGAGAAGTGCCTGGTGCTGTAATAACAGAGAGCCCCACAAACACACTCCACCCTGAAATGGCACATCTCCTGAAACTTCAGATTCTTCCTCATGTAAGACACAGCACATCTGGTTACGATCCGAGTTCTCACTCTTGGAAGCTAAGGAGCTGCATCTCATGTAAAAATTATAAAAGTTTAATCCTTAATAAGAACTGCAGTGTATAAATGCAACTGTGATAAAGGCAACACAGACATGAGCTCGTGCTATTGTGGAAGGGTAACCTCTAAATTACAGCTGCTCATAGCAGTTACAAAGGAAGACAGCGGTACCTTCAGAACACTTCTACAATGTCATTCTCTCCAGCTTTCAAAAAACCAGGAAATTTCAACTCTGAAGTTGTACTTGTAATTAGATGAGATACAGAGCAAATTTCCAACTCCCTAATGTCCTCTGAGCAATCCTGCACATTAAGCATACCTTGCTTTAAGTGGAAGTCCAAAGTGAGCATCACAAAACAAAGGAACACCTGCTGAGAGAGGAAATCAAGGACCCCAAACTGGATCCATTTTCTCCAATAAAGCTCTAGAAAATATTCATTTTTCTAACAGGGACTTTCTGCCCTAACCCCCTCCCAATGAAGTTCAAAATAATTTCAATACTCAACACTAGAAAAATAGTAGTTGGTGGTTTTTTTTTCCTCTCTGTAAATACAATAAATAATGCAGGTAAAGATGCCTAGGCATCATTGTCACCAGTTCAAACAAAGCATTAATGAATGCATTAAATCATTCAAATGTAAATAAACATTACATACATTAAAATATGCCCCAAATCTTAGAAGAGTGTTGTAACAGCAATAACTACTGTATTAGTGACAACCATTGCAGTTAGTTATTTTGACAACAGAGCAGGTAAACCAATATACCTCTTAGACACATTATTTCATTTTAGCCTACTTTAGAACAACAGAAATAAGACCCAACTGAACTTTCTCAGACATTAATCTCCATTATAATCCACCATCGGTGTCCCACCACCCCTTCTGAGAAATCTAGTGCATCTTTATGGGAAAAATATACTTCAGAACAAAGTTTCTGTTGACAAACCATGCTCTTTTCAATCTCAATTCGGCTATCCAACTTCAGAGAATGGCAGGAGTTTGCATTTAGTTCCTGCTGAACAGCTCCAAGCCTTTTCTGGAAGCCACGTCAATCTCCACAGTTGCGGCGTGCTGCGAAAACCAAGCTGCATGTGCCCATGTTCTGCACTGGCCCCTCGTTTTTATGGTTTTAACAGTATTTTTGTGAGATGGGATTTGCCACATCTCTAGTAAGTTTCATAAATTTGGGACACAACTATCCTGAAAATCCACTACTTGCAAAGGAAGTATCATACTCACTAAGAAAGCAGATTAGTTCTGAGCATGTATCTTTAAAAGCAACATTTGAAAAAGACCTGCAGCCTCACAAGTCCTGCTAACAGATCTAGGCCTGACACCTAGCAATGCCCAGGGGTTCTGCAAGTCTTGTAGAAGTGATTCAGTTCTCAGTCATCAACAAAGGTTTTGGCAGAGTAAAATTATATGAAATCTGTAATACACTTGTTAGCATTTATAGTCCAATCATCAGTTAGAAGTATTATTGCATCTGCAGCGTAAAAATATAGGTGGTTCTATAAAGAAAAATTAAAATAGCATTAATCTAGTACAGATAGTCATATAAAATAACTCACAATTATGTAAGTTTCCATATTTAATTACACATTTAAAAATAAGTTATAAAAATAATCAAGCTTCTTCAAAACTCCTATGATGCTTTCTTTCAGGAGTTTTTACTCAAATCTACTGATTGTCTAGCATCAGCAACAGCTTCTGGTACTCGAACAGTCATATTATCCATTGACTTCTTCAAGCAGATCTGGCAGCCTAAACGTGATCTGTAAGAAATAACACTGTTTTTAGTTCTAGCCAACCACACACCTACCAGTATTTACAGCCCTGCTTCCCCAACATTCAGCCAGCCCAAACACTTCACGGTCCAGAAACCAATCCCCTACTACTGCATGGTCATAACCAAGACCAGCAGTGAACTGCTTGCATGAACACAAATATACGTGATATCAATCATGGTCACAGATTTACATCCTTAACTTGGGATATTTATGTTGGGAAGTTTAACCTGAGTGCTTCTCACTGCTGTACAAATGGTGACCCTCCCATTCCCAATGACTCACTCATAGTTCAGCCAAAGGTAGGCAGACACTTGATCTGCCACTGAACACTCAGCATCTGCGAAGAGACCGAGGCACTCGGATGGAAAGCTTCAGTAAAAGCAGAGACTGACTCACCTGCAGTCTTAAGACAGCTCAAGAAAACAGAGCACACGTTTGTACAGCTCACCTGACAGCCTGGGCTAGTTTAACTTCTACAGCTTCCCAACAAGCTACAGCCTGAGAAGAGATTAGGAACTTCTTCCATTTGTGTCATTTGTATCGTTCTAAAAGTTCACACCCAAGTCAAACATTTTTGATTTTTTACAAAGTTTCTACCTGAAGTTCTACATTTTTCCTTAAATATTTACAGGACAAAATATCCAATTACCTCCTCCTAACACGGTTAGTGCTTAGGCAGGTATCTAAGAAAATATATCTTCCCATGACTTAAATTAACAAAAAAAACCTCTGTGGTAAGGTAATGGAACCACATGGGACACAACTAGATTTATTATCATGCACAAATCATAGCTTCAGCAACTTCTAAAGTCTAAAATTTTGTCTCTTCACAATTCTCTCACTGCAAGCTTAGCACAACAGGTGCCAGAAATTACACACATTAAAGAAGCCTGCCAACTTTTTAGCAGTTCATAAACAAAGAAGCAAACTACAGCTGAGGATAACTGGATTTTTTTAAATGAGAAAGTGGATGATGGTACTCCATGAAAAAACAGGAATATATTCTGAACAGCATCTTTATTGACCCTAAAAATTCACCCACCCAATCAAAACATGTTCACAGAAATAAGTGATTGAACACAGCTTGTGTATTGGATAAGACAGACTTAAACAGCTTCTTCAAATCATTTTTAATCTCAATAGTCACTACTGAATTAATCCTCTCTCCCATTTTTTTCTTCAGCCTAGCAAGGCACAGCATCTTTCTCCACTGTTTTAACATCAGAGTCCAAGGCTAACTTCCCTGCTTTTTCAAGGAACTCAGTTAATTCAACCTATACATCTTGGTATTTAAGTAGGAAGTCAGTGCTGCACAAGTATAAAGACTGACAGTTAATCAGTATTTAGGCACAGTAGTTTTTTCTGGTTGGGTTTTTGTTTGTTGCTGTTGTTTTTTTCATCTGTTTTTACCTCATATTAAAGACGTCCCTCTTTTTTTTTTTTTTAATATCAAACTTTAAAGAGACATTCCTGGAAAGACACTAGCTAGCTGACAGCCCATTTCAAGTACGTAAAGCCACCACTGTTTCACCTGCCTCTCCATCATTATGGAGTGCATGAAGACAAGCATACACAGCAGGTCCAGGGAGGTGATCCTTCCCACTAGACTCTCCCCTGATGGGACCACAACTAGAGTACTGTGTCCAGTTCTGGGCTTCCCAGTTCAAGAAGGACTCTTCTGGGACTGGGAAACCTAGAGAGAGAACAGCAGAGGGCCACAAAGATAATTAGGGCCTGCAGCACCCTCTAAGGAAGGGCTGAGACCTGGACTGTTCGGCCTGGAGAAGAGAAGATTTTATCAATGCTCATAAATATCTACAGGGCAGGAGTCAAGTGGACAGGCTGTTCTATTTTCATTGCTGCTCAACCACAGGACAAGGGGCAACAGGCACGAACTGGAGCACAGGAAGTTCTGTAAAACATGAGGAAGAACTTCTTTAGCGGAAGGCTGACAGAGCACTGAAACAGGCTTCTCAAAGACATTGTGGTGTCTTCTCTGGGGATATCTAAAACCCTTCCAGACACTTTCCTGTGTCATCTCCAGTAGGAAACATGCTCTGGCAGGGGGTTTGACTAGGTCATCTCCAGAGGTCCCTTCCAGCCCCTATGATTTTGTCATCTAATCAACATCAAATTCTGTTCCCATCAATCAATTGGAGAAGATTCTCCAAGGTGCAATCAGGGTTGGTTTTTTCTCTTACACAGTAATACAGTACTGTATACAAACTTCACCACCTTTGTCTTCACCTTATTATTTCCCAGATATGGTCAATGCATAAAATCTAGCACAGATGAACTTCAGATCCCACTTGACCACCTACATTTATAAGACACTCATGTCCTTCTATCCTGTTGAAAAACAGTACTTTTTGACCAACTATTGATCCTCTGCAGGGCCCCTGCTCTTACCCTGCAGCAATGCAGTACTCAGTCAAGGACTTGGAAGCCAAGTCACTGCTCTGTGATTCATTTCAGAACTCCGATATCTGTTACTTCTGCCTAAAAAGCTCTGTTGAATTGTTTCCTTACCACTATTCAGCAAAAGCTATAAAAAGCAACAGGCAATAGACACAGGCCTAATGCATCCAGTATGGAACTGGACTGACTGCCTTCTACAGCCAATAACGTTTTTTTAATAGCCTGCTACCTTCCATTCCTATCGTTTGGAAGCCACTCTAAGCTAACTAATTAAACCTGACAGAGAGTAGCTCAGCAATGAGCTGAGTTCCTTTAGAGCTCCTGAGTGAATACTACCTACCCTTTCTATGTGTTACTACTGATTCATTTGTAGTACTGCTTCTTCCATGGACACCTACGAGAGATCTTTCAGGAAATCCCATGCCAAGAAAGCTTCCAGTGCACGGAGATCCTGTAACATCTCCAGAGCAAACAATGCAAAAAACATCTGCTGTTACATTATCTCTTTGTATTCTAAGTGCAGCTCCTGCATCATCCATTAGATCCTCGTACAGATGACCTTTTTGCTTCTGATAAGAACAAACAGCTTGTTGAAAAGTAGAAAGGTATTTGTTTGGTTTTTATCTCAGTATTTTTTAAACATTCAGTTTGTCAGGGTTTGCTTTCTTCCCCTCTCATTTTCCTATGTTGAATAACCCCTATTATTCTGAAGTTGTTCAAAACAAGTTTGTTTTAGCCTTTCTAATCAGTCCTTCATTTAAGAGGTATTAATACTCTCAACAGCTGCTAGTTGAACCTTTCCAATTCCAGAGTCACTGACAAGAAATAACTTTTATCCTTAAACTTCCTGCAATGCTCTGCCCCATCGCCGTTACAAAGCTTTGCACTAGCATGACACCAGGCAACCTGTAGTAAACATGAGGATCACTCCAGCATTCTCCTTCAGAAAGCTGTCCTTTCACACATGAAAGATTTCTGGCTGCAGGAATAACATGATGATAGGAAAAACCAACAAAACACCGAAGTCTTCAGAAGGTCTGAAATTTATTTTCTCTCAAAATTCTTCAGACTAAACTAATATTTAAACAGAGAACTCTGGCTTTCTACTGCTTTTCAGTTGTTCAATTAAAAAAAAAACCAAACTTGTTTTAAGCCTTTAATTAAAAGACAGAGTAAAATAGAAGCTGAAACAGGTTTCTCAGCTTGACTTCTTTGCCTTTTCAATCTCCTAAAAAGATAACACTTGGCTGAAATGAGGAAAAAAAATTGTACTGTCATGCAGAAAAGATCTGTACAAGATTCCAGTGTCACTGGAAAAAGAAGATAAAAGGCTTAATTCAAAATAATTCCTTGCAGAGACACTGAAAAATAAATACCATACAGGCCAGGTATAAAGTCCTCTGAAATCACTGGAAAGACTCGCAGAAACTTCAGCAAGCAGTTCCTTTGAAACCTGAAGGAAAAAGCTAATAAACCTCACTCAGCACAACTGCTTACACCTCATGTGGGCTATGTTCTCTGAGACAGGCTATGTGCAGCCCACTAGGAACAGTGGTCCAGCCTGCTAGGAACAGATGTGTGAAATGAAATGCTCCGAGATGAGAACGTGACGTCCGTGTTATGCATGTGACAGTGGGGGGGATGAAGAACAGAGGGGTCCTTCAAACTTGTGCTAGTCTAGTTGTAGGCACTGAAGTGCCCATTCAGAATTGGAGCACACTGGGCTTAGTTTCACCCAAGTGGTATCTGGATTGTATGATTGAGAAACACTCTGACATGAGTGGGGACACAGCTGTGTGGAACACTTCAGCCTGGAGAAAAGAAGGCTCAAGGGAGATCTTATCAACAGATACAAATGCCTGAGAAGCCATGGAGTCTCCTCTTCTGAGATATTCAAAAGCCTCCTGGACATGGCCCTGGGCACCCTACTCTGGGTAGCCCTGCTTGAGCAGGGGCTGGACCAGAGGAGCCCAAAGATGGCTTCCAAGTAACTATTCTACCGTTCTGTGAAAGAAGGTCTGATGCAAACTAAAATACTAGTGTAAACACATCCATAAAATAAACTAAGTGCTGGTTGATGGGATCAGAAAACAGAAGGGAAACAAGAAGGAAGTTCACAAACAGGACTGCAGTAGCAAAGTTTCTGTTGAAGAAACTGGGATTTTGATCAGACCTCAGTACCTGACACTCCTACGTCAGACAACTATGAAGAACCACTGTTCAGGTTCACAAAAATGGACAGCATTTTCATCAACATTTCATCAGCAGTACCAACATTAGTATGAACTCAAAATTTCAACTTGCCAGTCCTATCCATGTAACAGAATGCAGCTATTCATTACAAGCTCACTAAGGCACTTTAAGAACACTGGACTGCTCCACTTGCAAACCCTCCTTTCCATTTAGTGACATAGCAAAGCATTACGTTGCCTTACGTTTCCGTGAGACCATATGCCAGGTCTAGCATGTCCATCTCTTCATCAGTAATTGCATCTAGTTTCTCAAATATGTGGTCTTCAAAGATTAAATGACAAGTTGAACAGGCTAACGTTCCTTCACATGCACCTAAAGAGAACAGCAAGTTAACAGAAAATTCCAAATAACTGAACTTCACAACAATGCTTTAATAGAGAACATGTTTATGCTAACATAACAGCAGTGTCACTCGTCATCAGACTGCACGGTAAGAACTGCACAGAAAGCACTGTGCTGCTACACTTCACAATGGGATCAGCAGCACATATTCAAACCAAGCACGATACTGTACTGCATGACTCAGTTTTGAAAATATGTCTTTACGTACACAAAAATACATGTGGAAAACTTTAAAGAACTGTAAAGTGCTTAATGTAGAAGCTGCCACATCAACAATCTGTGCATTCTAACACTGGGGAAAATAGTAATAAATAGGTTAAAAAGAAAAGAAAAATCACACCAAGTGACTGTTTGAGCAGTGGGAGGTCTTACTGCAACTGCAAGGCAGCAGCAAACTATTCAAAGGCACCTGAATTGTACAATAGTTCACTTTCTATGCACACATTTCTACCATTACTGCACATAGGATGCCCCCTAGTGATATAAGTAAACACATAACACCTGCATTTTATATTTTTCTTCATCATCTGTCCCCCCTCTAAAAAGAACATACATTTCCACATTATTTCCAATGCATTATTTCTCTGCTCTAGTATGATGCTTCATTACCAAATTGTTATTGAAGTTGATACAGTATGTTGTAAATTAAAGGTTAGTAACGTATCTCAAATGTTAATTTTGGACATCATTTACAGTCTATTGACAACATTATCCTTTTTACTCCACCTTACTGTAATGTTTTAACATGGCTGATATTAACATGAAATGAGAGGACCTTAACTGTAGACTGAAGAGTAGCCATAAGCCTATACAATAGATTCATATAATAATAAATGAAGGTAGCTATGTCAACGTGTTGTGCATTTTTTAGTTTATTCTTCAAATGTATACAACCCATAACAATATTCCTTAGAATCTTAAAGATTCATTACCAGCAATGGCATGTATTCATACTTAAATAAAACACAGGTCACGTTTCAAGTTGTGCTGAACTAGCATACTTTCCCCCCACTCTGGAATTGCTCTGTGCTATATATTCATTCATGAAAACTGTAATCCCACTTTCTGCTTTACTTGTATTGTTATTTCTTAAACATATGCTCTGAAAGTTTGCTTTGTATAGTCAGAAGCCTGTAACCACTATGGAGCTTAGGGCCACAAAGACAGTGAGGAGCCTGGAGCATCTCTCCTATGAAGAAAGGCTGAGTGAACAGGATCTGTTCAGCCTTGAGAAAAGAAGACTGAGAGGGGACCTGATCCAGGTCTATAAGTATCTAAGGTGTGGGGGGCAGAATGGCGAGGCCAGACTCTTTTCAATGGTGAGTGGAGACAGGACAAGGGGAAACGGCCGGAAACTGCAGCATAGGAAGTTCTGCACAAATGTGCGCAAGAACTTCTTTACAGTGAGGTGACGGAGCACTGGAACAGGCTGCCCCGGGAGGTGGTGGAGTCTCCTTCTCTGGAGATGTTCAAGACCTGCCTGGATGCCTACCTGTGCGACCTGCTGTAGGGAACCTGCTTTGGCAGGGGGGTTGGTCTCGATGATCTCTGGAGGTCTCTTCCAACCCCTACAATTCTGTGAACTAACTAAGGGAAGTCCAAAGTTTGGAGGAAAAGGAGGTAAGCTTCCTTCTGTTTTGATTTTAAACAGAACTTGCACTGAGTTAGAATATCCCTAACACATTGGTCTCCTTTACCTCGCCTCTTCTGTAAGAAGTGTTTGCTCTTCTTTGCAAACTGACATACCTGGCTGCTTCTTTCATTGGTCATTCAAGTACTACAGCGACATGTGTTACAAAAAGTCAAATAACAAATTCAAATCACACGACAACAGGGAAGTAACTCAACACTGTCAGAAATACAGCATTTTTTGTGTGGCCTTCAGAAGCTTTCAGCTCAGAAATCTCACAGGTGGCATCTCTCATCTTCACAGAGAAATTGTCCACACAGACAGAGATTAGGTTAGGAAAGTTAAGCCCTGATAGAATTGAATGCGGCCAGAGACACAGAGAGCAACAAGAAAAGCTTCTTTAAGCACTGCTAGCAATACAATGAAGGCTAAGGAAAACATGAGCCCCCTCTGGAAGGAAACAAGAGCTGATTATGTGGGATATGCAGAAGATTGAAGTTGTCAAACTTACTTGCTTCAGCCTTAATCGGCAACTGCTCTAGCCACATTAAGTCACAGAGGGCAAAGGGACTGGGAGGATAAAGAACTGCCTGCTGTAGGAAGAGATCAGACTCGAGGCATCTAAGGAACCTGAACACGCACACAAATCCACGGGACCTGATGAGATGCATCTGAGCATTCCAAAAGAACTGGCAGATGAAGTTGCTAAGCCACTATCCATCGTATTTGTGAAGCTGTAGCAGTTCAGTGAAGTTCCCACAGACTGGAAAAGGAGAAATATAACCCTTATTTTTTAAAAAGAAAAAAAAAAGGAAGGCCCAGTGAACTACAGGCCAGTCACTCTCACCTCCGTGACTGTCAAGATCACAGAGCAGATCCTCATGGAAACTATGCTAACGCACATAGAAAATAGGGAGGTGACTGGTGACAGCCAATATGACTTCATTAAGGGCAAATCGTGCCTGGCAAATCTGGTGACCATCTGTGACATTACAGTGTTGAAGGATAAGGGAAGAGTCATCTACTTGCACTTGTACAAAGCATTTGAAACTACCCCACACAGCATTCTTGTCTCTGCACTGGAGACATGGATCTGATAGATGGACCACTGAGTGGATAAAGAATTGGCTGGATGGTCACACTCAGAGTTGTGGTCGTGCCTAAGTAGAAATCAGTGACAAGTGGTGTCCCTTGAGGCACTGACAAAATGTAACATCTTTGTCAGTGACATAAACAGTGGGATTGACTGCAACTTCAAAAAGCCTGCAGACAACACTCAGCTGAGTGGTATGATCAGGATACAGCAGAGGGAATGGATACATCCAGAGGGACTTGGACAGCCTGGAGAAGTGGGCCTGTGCAAATCTTATGAAGTTCAATAAGGCCAAGTGTAAGGTCCTGCACCCAGGTTGGGGCAATTCCAAGCACAAATACAGGCTGGGTGGAAAATGAATTGAGAGCAGCTATGAAGTGAAGGACTTGGGAATGGGGAGGGTGGGGGGAGAAGGAAGACGATGAAAAACTCAATATAAGCTGGCAACATGCCACTTGCAGCCCAAAAAGCCAACTGTATCCTGGACAGCAGGGTAAGGGAAATTATTGTTCTCATGCACTTTACTCTTGTAAGATCCCAACCTGCAGCACTGCATTCAGCTTTGGGGGCCCCCATGTAAGAAGGACATGGAGCTGTTGGAGCAGAACCAGAGGAGGCCATGAGGATGATCAGAGGGCTGGAGCACCTCTCCTGTGAAGACATGCTGAGAGAATTGGGCTTGTTCAGCCTGGCAAAGAGAATGCTCCAGGGAGAACTTACAGTAGCCTTCTAATATCCAAAGAAAGGTACCTACAGGAAAGCTGGAGAGGGACTCTTCATCAGGGAGTGTAAGTTATAGGACAAAGAGTAATGCTAAGTTTAGATTTGATGCTACGACAAAATTATTTACACAGATGGCAGTAAAATACTGGAGCAGGCTGCCCAGAGATGTGGTGGCTGCTCCATCCCTGGAAGTGTTCCAAGGCCAGGCTGGATGGGGCTTTGGGCAATCTGGTCTACTGAGAGATGCCCTTGCCCATGGCAGAGGGTAGAACTGGAGGGTCTTCAAGGTCTGTTCCAAGCTAAACCATTCTATTATTTTTCAGATTCCTCCCTGACACCATTCTGTCACCATTATCCTCCTTTAATTCCTTCAAGCAAGGCTCACACCAACTTTTAAGAACTAGATCCAAAATATTCTATGCACCCGCAGGGAAAAAAAAAAAAAAAAAGTATTTTATTTGGACTCTTTTCCACACCTAGGTTTTACAAATACATTCATAAATATTTACGAACAAACTGGTAAGAGATCCTAATTTCCAGACACTGAATGTAGTATTTAAGGAATCCACTTACCAAAACCATCTATGTCTAGATTATTATCAACAACAACATCCAGCAATGAATCTCCAGGTTTTCCTTTGGCTGTTAGCTTGTCACCATCGCGGTTGATGAAATGAACAGTTATTTTATCTTCTGAGCTGAAAAAGGGCAAAATAAAACCAAAGAAGCAAATGCATTATTTTCTAGACCTTTAAATTTGATCGAATACTGCTACAACACTTTTCAAAGCTGTAACAGGTGCAGGCACTCACTGGTGACATTAAACACAAAGACATGAAAAACAACACCAAAAACCCCTTCACTTACGTTTTGTCACTAGAAGCCATACAGAATCCTGATGCTTCACCTTTTGCCAAAGGGATTCAAAGCTTTCTTTTAGGCAGACTATTTGTATTTTTGACAAATAAAAGAGCTGACTTTAAGTGCTTTGCACTTCTCTGTGAACTCACACTTTGCATTTACAAAATGATCTAGTAGATAACACTAAAAAGAATTAACGAGTTCAGAATTTTCCCATGTATGGTTAGAACTTAAGGCATTTTATTACCTCTAAAATCTAATTCTGTTCTCCATTCAATAGCAGAAATAGTCCAAATGTATTTGTCTTTTTTGACTGCAGGTTCTCTTGGAATTTCACCTTGTAAATATTTATTCTAGTGAAGTGCATCAAAATCTCAACACAGACACCAAAGAAAAGTGTCCTGCTTTGCTTTTCAGGCACTTGTGTATACTTAAATTTTTATGCAGAATGTAAGGGAATTATTTTTCTTAAGACTAATGCTTTTGATATGGAAAAACAGGGTTTTTTTGTGTGTGTTCCATATGGTTTCCTTTCACATGCAAATTAAAGGAAAGTCATTAATATAATAGCAAATAAAATACAGTTCATTACAATTGACTATGCTCTTTCTCAGGGTAAGTGAGTAACACCAGAAAAACTCCTTAGAGAAACAGGGAAGAAACATGCTGAGAGATACAAATAAAAAACTGAAAGCTAATGCAACATCTATACCTCATCGTGAAATCCATGTTTAAGAACTGCTCACTCCATATTACACATGCTCTTTGTAATAACTGCAGGCTTTAGGTGATCTACAACACAGAACACATACAAGCCTGAAAAACCAAGCCACCTCCTAGGAAACTAACTTATAGGGCTGAATATTAAAAAATTAAAAGTGGCCTTACTGAAACATCAGCAAGTCAACCATCCTTGGAACTGGCTAGAAAAGAAAATGCAGTTCCAGCAATTAAAGTTGAAGCTCATTTTGGAAAACAGACATGCTCACTACTCTACACTTAATGCACTTGCACCAGCCATAAGCTCAGTTGGCAGCAGTACCTGCTATCACATCATGATGTGGTGTCCAACTCCTGTTCTATCACCCCTCAGCCTACTTCGGAAGGCAACTGCAGGTGACTATTAATCATAAATTCATTCCAAAATAATAATCAATAAGGAAGGATCAACCCTCTGGGCCCACATGATTCCAATGAAGCTCACACTATAATGAAATTCAGAAATCTTAGAAGATGCATCTTCACATCATACAATTGGTGTTCTGCAGCCACCTGTGGTAGCAGGGCAGCACTTCCAGCAAGCCATTCTGCAAAGGTTTAAGTTACCACTGTGTTCTTCTTTCCACTCCCCCGCTCAGCATTACTACTTCCCACAGCAAAGAGAGGAAACCAGCATCCTTCTCCCAGACACACAAGTGCAAAATTCACTGCCTTCACCAAAAGTCAACTTCACTGACAGGTTTAGATTGCATCCACAAAAGTATAGATTCCAATTCTGACAGCTAAAGTAAACCACCAACAATGTTTTTGTTTTGTTTTTTTAATTGGTTTTATTTATTTTTTTACTTTAGGTTCTTCAAGAAGTCCTTCCAGAGCTCACCCAAACACTCATTTACCAAAACATTTCTGTCAATATGACAAACATGATGCTAGCAGGAGACAGGGATGCAGTTGCATGCATAGACATCTATGCCCACGTAAGTGCTAAATATTTGTTCAATATCTAAAGCACATCCTTTCTTCCCCTACAAAAGAAGGCAATCATCAGTAACACAGTCCAAATACCAAGATGTCTGACTACAATCCTGTGAGATGACAGGAACCTTCCTAAGAGGCTCCTTAAGAGATCCTCCCTAGGTGGTTTTCACAACACGCATAGGGCTATCTTCCTTGGTGATCACACTTCAGACTGCAGTAACAGCAGTGTCAGATAATCAACGGCTTTCCCATCCCTCCTTTGTTCCCTCCTCCTCCAGCACTCGCAGTGCTCTGCAGTGAACTGGGCCAGAAACAGAATGGGCTGAAAACCAATCTTGGAAGCCCGCGGCCATATGAACAGCAGAACTGGTACAGTCAGATCTACCTGTTACATGACACATCTGGTTAAAACAAGACGACAGGAATAGCACCCCTCTTTCTGCAGCCACCATCTTACACTGGCTTTAGCCAGCTATGGGGCAGCGCTAGGGCTGGACATGCCCAAGTGAAGCACCGCCTTTAAGTCATCAGCTTTTGTTAAAGGACATTACAAAATTAATCCTTCCTATGAGAATTAATCCACCTGGTTGATCACCGAAACTGAGATTTATTTGTAACAAAGTTTAAGACACTTTGGTCTTCCAGTAGGATCTGTCTTCCTGGTGCTGGAACAGGCTGCCCAGAGAAGCTGTGGATGCCCGGTCCATGGAGGCGTTCAAGGCCAGGTTGGACGGGGCCCTGAGCAATCTAATCTAGTATTAATTGTAGAGGTTGGTGGCTCTACCAGTGGCAGGGGGCTTGGAGCTTCATGATCCTTGAGGTCCCTTCCAACCTGGGCCATTCTGTGATTCCTGCGATTGCCATCTTAAGTCCCCCTGACACAGACAAAAAGTTCAATTTACAGATCACTGCAGCGTTATAGTACACGAGCCTGACTGTGAAAATGCTTTCAGGAGCACAAGTACATCACTAGTCAGAGGGTCAGAATGCACACTGTGCAGATCTTTTCAACTGAGAGATTCCACTGAAAGAAAAATCAGACATACGTGGAACAGTGCTTAGGGTTTATGAATTTCAAGCAACGTGGCTTTTGTCTACATGGAGAAAAAAAAAAGCAAGAACAAAAACAACAAGAGCAACAAAACCCCCACCACTTCGTGAACTGCACGTGGAAGATTAACATGAAATAGATGCCAGATCTTACGCAAGCATAAATAGCCTCAGGATTCCCGGAAAGAACCAAACATATTTCATGTGATTTACATAAAGCATAAATATCCCAATTCATGCTTAGATTAACTTATTTTTTTAAGCTATCTGCTACTAAAATTCATTCCTTCATATGATTGCCACAGTACTATCGACATTATTATCAAATGTCACTAGGGTACCCCAAATTAAGCATACAGCAAATGAACTGAACAGCAGCAGAGAACTGTTAAGTGATCCATCTCCTCCCATTTGTAACTAGTGCAGCAACTTTGATTTTTGAAGTCTTGGCAATACTTTAAAAGACCTTTTTATGTTTTGACCTCAAAATAACTGATAGCCTGGGCAAGTCACTGGAGACTTATTTTAGGGCACTGGGCTGGGTCACTCAGAGAAGAGATCTAAGCAGGCATACAGGAGACCTGGATTAAAAAGTTCCTTGCATTCTGTACTAAGAACATTTGCTGGAACAAAATAAGAGCACCTAGAGGAGAGCTTAAAAGCGAACTACTGAAACAACTTCTGTAATTCTAGAGGAGTTGGACTCGATGATTCTTACAGGTCCCTTCCAACTTGGGATTGATTCCAACCACGGTGGTGAGAGCCACCCAGCAGTCCCAGAAACACAGAACCAAAGAATGGCCCGGGCTGGAAGGGACCTCAAGGATCATGAATCTCCAACCCCCCCGCCACAATACAGGGCCACCAACCTCTCCATTTGATACCAGCCCAGGCTGCCCAGGGCCCCATCCAATCTGGCCTTGAACACCTCCAGGGCCGAGCCCCGGGCTCCCCCCAGCCACCGGGCCCAGCAGGACCACCCACAATGCAGAGCCCGGCCGAACGCCGGGAAGGAGCGGCGGCAGCGCCTCGGGGCCGACACGGAGCTGACAAGGCCGGGAAACGGCGAGGGCACGGCGGGAAGGTCAAGCAGCGCCGCCCGGCGCGACCGCCCCTCGACCCCGGGCGCCCCGCAGCTCTGCGCCGTGCGCGGCCGCCCCCCGAGGAGCCCGCCGAGCCGAGCGGAGCCGAGCCGCTTACCTGCGCGCCGTCCGGGCCGAGAGGCTGAGCGGTCGCAACGCTCTCACGGCCGCGGCGCTGCAGCTCGGCCCTGTCCCCACTGCCGGCAAAGCGGAGAGGAACCAGCGGCGGGAGGGAGCGGCGGCGGCCCGGAACAGCAGGCGGGCCGGTGCCGGAGCGGCCATGGCGACGGGCGGGCAGCGCGAGGCCTCGGCGCCGGCGGCGGGAGGAGTGGGGGCAAAGTCTCGGCGCTTACGCCTCCGGCGCGGGCTGCGGCGACTTTCGTAGCGGTCTACGCCATCCACGTAAGGCACTTCCCGCCCCCTTCTGGCGGCGTCGAGAGGGTTCCGCGAGTCGGGAGGAGCGGCAGTACGCAAAGTGCGCAGCGTAGCGCCGCGTAGCGCCGAGTAGCTGCAGGCGGTACGGGAGAGGCGTAGGGCGGCTCGTGTCGAGGGCCGGCCTTCCCGCCTCGTTCCCTCCGGGCTCGCCGCAGGCGGTGACAGATCCCAGCTTCCAAATCCGAGCCCGGGTTCTCCCGGCAGGTTCTCCCGGCAGGTTCTCCCGGCAGGTTCTCCCGGCAGGTTCTCCCGTGGAGCTCGACCTGAACTGGTCCCCTCCCCGGTTTGCTCTATAAGGGACTTCTTGACTCCCCGGATCCTCGTTGCTATTTCTTCTGAGAGAAGACGAACTTCTAAGACACAGGCATCAGCATATGGGCAGCAGTGCCCTCAGGGGATTTGTCAGGAGGAGAGCTCAAATTTCAGTATGGAAACGTTGATATTTCCTTGATATTACAGACCACATGTGGCCTTAAGTTGGCGTTCTGCTGTGCACGTGTTGGGCTGCACGTTTTGACCAGAACCTAAATTTGGGGGGAGGGGGTGGGTAAGAAAGGAGGGGATAGCCTCTTCAACAGAGACTGTGGTATGGGACAAGAGGAAATGGGTTCAGACTCAAAGAGGAGAGATTTAGACTGAATATGAGGAAGAAGCACTGGCACAGGTTGCCCAGAGAGGTGGTGGGTGCCCCATCCCTGGAGACACTCCAGCTCAGACTGGACGGGGCTCTGAGCACCCGATGGAGCTGTAGGTGTCCCTGCTCATTGCTGGTGGTTGGACTGGATGGCCTTTAAGAGTTCCTTCCAACTCAAATGACTCTATGATTCCATATTTGCATAAATGCAGTCAGTATTCTGGAACATACTGAAAAGTAGTGTCTAAAAAAACAGCACGAGGGCCAGATTCTCATCAGGTATGCTGCTATTCCCTCACCCTTGTGAGCTCTGTTTCTCTTTTGAAACACTGGAAGAAGTAGCTGCAAAGAATGTGTTTTATTTCAGCACTGTTCAGACAGCATAGGATCGTACATGCACATATGTGAGGCAGCATATAGATAACTTAAGCTTTGTGTGGATTTCTAGTTTTGCAAGGTCAAGAGAGTGCATCAGATAATCTAGTCTGACTTTATCCAGAGGCTGCTTTTTGTAAATAAACGGTTTATGCAGGAAATAAATCTGAAAGAAATCCTCTGGACCTTCCAGTCTAAACCTCTGCTGTCACATACAACTCAAGAAATTCAACATAAAAGTATTTATCTGCTTCTTAATTTTTTATTTTTATTTTTTTGGCTGGTATAAACCCCACTGAAAAAAAAAGATCACTTTCACTCCTTGGAAGAGCATAAATTCTAATTATGTATTAATTTTCAAAAAATTCATTTTTAATGTAATTTTTAGTTTAGGATAATATATACCAATTTTTCTTGCCCAGTGCTGCCCACGAGTTTAAATGGTTCTTGACCTTTCTACTGTTCACTCACTGTTTGTTGTATCCCCTCCAGCCCTTTTATTTTAGCCTCTGTTTTATTCATCTGATTTCACAAGACATGAAACTCTTACGAAATTCTCCTGATTCTCCCACCAAGTCATTTCTGCATGTGCTATTTTGAATTCACCCATGTTAAACTTGGGCAGCTAGTTAGATTCTACATTCACTTGTACAGTGTCTCTAATGGAAGTGCATGGCCATCATACGTCCTAGGATTTTATCTGGTTATTTCTGTGTACACATCAAACTAGTAGCCCCAAATCATTGTGTGATCATTTTATGAGCCCCATGTCCCTTGTTGCTTCTTATTAAAAAACTCTGTTAATAAACAGGATGAGTTCTTGCTTTCCTCAACTGAACACAGCAAGCTCTGAGCTTTGTTTCAGTTCCTTCGATGTGGGACCTACATCCATACAGTGCTTTCATGAAGAAGGCCATTTCCATTAATCAGCTTTACCCCCAAGTTCAGCGCGTGCCCCAGCTCTGTCATTGCCCTCAGATGACCATGGTCCTGAGCACGTCACCCCTTTGTAAATGTTCAGTTGGCAGTGTCCAAAGTCAGAACCTTCACTGATTACAGCTGTTGCAGCAAAACCTAGAAGTGAGGTGCTGTCTCTCCGTCCTTCTGGAAGCCTCTTTGAAGCAGAGGCTTTATGCTGGCCCTTGCCTGCAGCACAGTGCAGCCGTGTAGCATCTGTATTTGCATTGTCTCAAGTCTCCATGGGCCTGTCTGGCCTTGACCCAGACTCACTGACTTGGTATCCTGATGTGGCCTTGGATGTGCCTTGTCACTGTGGCCTTGCTGAGTGAACAACTAACTGCTGCTGACCCTGACCACTATCTTGCAAACCAGTTTTGACCCTGGCTTGCTGCTCTGCTCCCTGGCTCCTTGGTGAGGTGACTGCTTTCCCCTGCCTGGTGGCTGCACTTGGCTCCCAGACACATTCCCTTGCAGAGCTACCATCTCTTGCTGTTCCCTGACATCTCCCACCCCCAAACACAGAGACCTCCTATGTAGTTTCTTTGCATTTTCTATATAATGTATGCTTCTGTGGGAGGCAAGTTTGAGTAAAAGGCAGAGCAATTCGATCAGGATACCTGGATGAAAACCAGCAGATTGAAATAAAAGAGACAAAAATACTTAATGCTGTGTGTATATCAAGCATCCTTCTGCACACATTGATTGTGTGAAAGGTTTGCTGCTTGTCTCCTTGACATGTTCATTGTAATGATAAACATTGTGCTATACAGGCTTCATCTTTCCTATATTTGTATAGGTTCTAGTATACTGGGAAACATATATTTTTTACAACTATGTTCTCCAAATCGTTATTTTTAAGCTTCTATTTGCAGTAGGCCAACAAACCACTAGATGGCAAACAATTTCTACTAGATAATGCCCAGGTGTTCATACTATCTTCTGTCCTCAGCTTTATAACTGAGGTTTTGGGGTGTAGTGCAATGGAAGTTCATAGGAATCTGTGGTGAAGATGGTGCAGTCCTGCTCCTGCTTGCCTCACCCTCCCTTTTGCTTCTTGGTATTCATGCAGCCAGATGTGGAGAGTGTTCTTAGAGTTTATCTATGCAAAAAATAAGCTAGCAAAAAGAAAAAGAAGATGAAAGGGCTGTTTCCAGCCAGCTTACAAAACAAGATTTATTCTCAGAGCAGCTGTCTCATCCTGGGTTGTTTTATGCAGTTTAGCAATGGTATCAAATTTCTCCTATCTGGCATAAAATTCCAGGGTTCAAGAGGACAACAACCTTCTGCATGTATACAAATGATCATCAGATAATCTCCATAAGTTACTGAAGATGACATCTGTGACTCCTGTTTTTCGTCTGCAAGAGAAGTGGTATGAAGACACGTTTGTGACGTGGTTGTTTTTATTTTGAGAATTAAAGTGGTTTGTAGGCCCTTCTGTAAGGGCAAGTTATCTGAGTACCATCAAAGTCCGTGTGGGGCTGCCAAAAAGTTCTGCAGATAAAGAGTGATCTGGATTTGAGAACTTTGCCCCTTTGTTGCTGAGCATCTGATAACTGCAGTACAACAGGGCAGGAGAGCGTTTTGTTTTCAGTTGCTTTGTCTTTGCTTGTTTCACTACAGCACCTGATGTACAGTTGGGAACAGATAGAAATGTTTGGGGTTTGTCATTGAAAGAGGTGGAGCTCTGGGAATGAGGCAGAGCTCGCTATTACCCACTCAGATAGGACAGCTGAGGAGGTGGGTCTGTCTCATGACAGAAACGTGAATTAACTGCGGCAGAATTCTGCTCAAGTGCCAGTAATTCTTTGTTCTAATGCCATAGTTCTGTCAGACATACTGCAAGATCTGTGTGAGAATTTTCATCTGAGTAAAGGATATTCAGGGTAGTTGTCTGGAGACTTGGTGCTTCTCAATAGAAAAATGTATGAGTTTTAAACAGAAACGCTTTTCTCACTCTTTCGAATTTAGGAAATTCTTTTACTTCGTGTTATCCTTTCATTTCATAGCATCCCCTCTTTTCTATGACAAGTTGAAGAGCGAGGCACAGCCAGCTCAATGTGAAATTTTCAAAACAAAGCAGAATTTGCCATCGCAGAATTATGGGCAGGTTTATGGCCAATACAGGATCTCAAAGCGTGGTCAAAATATAGCTGTACAAGTTCAGGAAAGGGAAATCCACCACTGGCTGTTAGGTATGAAAGCACTGTGCCTAGCGCCTGCCTGAAATCCTTCATGGCAAGTTGGAAGCTGGGAAAGAACATGGGGAAAGTCAATGCTTGCTCCACTCTCACATTCTTTCCCTCGTGCTGATTTTGACAGCTGCTGAAGACAAGATAGTGGGCTTGAGGGGCCTTTGGTCAGTCACTGAGTGGACATTTCTTTGGTCTGACTCCTTCCTAATTTTCTTACATATAGTAGCACTCTGAAGCTGAAGCTGCTGAGTTTGCAGTGGAGGACAGAATGTGAGGATCAAAATCCACCAGACCTCTCCTACTGAATTTCAGCCTTGGCAATATTTCCATTGCTACCAGTGCTGCATTCTAGACTGTAGTTAGACAGTAATTAGAGGCTTCAATTAGACAAGAAAGCAATTTTCTGACTGCACAAAATTTGAGTTGAAAATGAATTAAAGCCTGATACTCACTCTTGTTGCCTGTTGGTGCCCACCTCTCTTCTCTGCATTGTGCTGTTATGAACTATCTGTAATACATTTTACTCTCTTCCCAGAAGTCTTTACAGCTGTTTTGTAAAAACACATGCAACTAAGAGTAAGGCAAATGTCTCCATTAAGCGAGGATATTGATTGCTGTCCTGTCATTTCCAGGTGCAGAGAGTGATATACGAGTGTGCATGTTGGTCTTCATTATCTCTGAAGAAT